GAGAGAGAGAGAGAGAGAGAGAGAGAGAGAGATTTAAATCATTTACAAAATATAGTAAAACATTATTAATATTACATAAATAAAAGACCCATGTCCACAATGAAATATCTATGCCATTAATTTAATCATGTTTATTATATAAATAGAAAAATAACCCGAAAATTTATAAACTAAATTAATTTAAAATTTAGATAAATTAATTTTAAAACATTATTCTATTATGATAATTTCTATTTTGTTCAGTATTTTATTAACATTATAATATGTTCAGTAGTTTGTTAAAATATGAGTGGTTTAAAGTTTGTTTAATTAAATACTTATATTGAAATATTTATATTTTAAAATTCAATGCACTGATAAAATTTTTTAAATTAGCTTATATTATTAATAAAAACAATTTATCCAATAATGTTAGGTATCGGTAGTGTTTCAAGTGTAGTGACATTTATTTGTCTCAAAAATCAGCAAAAATTAAACAATTTTTAGTATTCTTAACGATATTCTGCTAAAGAATTTTTGGGCAATAATTTAGAAAAATAAACACAAAATAAATAAATTGAGAGCAAAAATATTGTTCAAACAAATAAAAAGGTCTAGACTTGTGTTCAGACAAATTTATATCTACAGTATATTGTATTTATATATAATTTATCAATAAGTAAAATCTCAGACAGACATTGGAAACAATGTGTAAAACATTTAGCATTAGATTTAAATCATTTACAAAATATAGTAAAGCATTATTAATATTACACAAATAAAAGACCTATGTCCACAATGAAATATCTACGCCATTAATTTAATCAGATTTATATTATAAATAGAAAATTTGTAAAATAAATTGTTGTCGGTTAATAATAAAGATAATGTTAAAATTAATTTATATTGAATAATTTTAAAAAATTATTTTCACATTATTCAATTATTATAATTTCTATTTTGTTCAGTATTTTATTTTAGTTAAACTATGAGTGGTTTAAAGTTTGCCTAATTAGATACTGATTTATAAGACATATTTATATTTATATCAATAAAAACAATATATTCAATAATGTTAGCAATCAATAGTATTTCAAGTATATCGACATTTATTTGTCTCAAAAATCAGCAAAAAGTAAACTTAACGATATTCTGCTAAAGAATTTTTAGGCAATAATTTAGAAAAATAAACACAAAATAAATAAATTGAGAGCAAAAATATTGTTCAAACAAATAAAAAGGTCTAGACTTGTGTTCAGACAAATTTATATCTACAGTATATTGTATTTATATATAGTGTACGGCAAAAACAAACTAAATTGTACGGTATGTGGAAAAGTACATTATGAACACTACGGGTAATAAAAATAAAAAATTATGAGCAAAACTAAAATCGTAATAATAATAAAAAGCTTTGAGAAAAAATATGGTTTATGTTTTTCATGCATTTTACAAATACATTATAACAGATATAATATACTCGACACACATATTGACTGCATTTCTAAGTTGTTTTGTTTTTTGGCTTAAAATTATAACATTGTTTTGTTGAAAAATCAAAATTGCTTTCAATAATGTATGCAAAATGTTATATAACTTTCATATAACGTACGACTGGATGGCTATTACTGGCGAAACAACTAAACTATTTATTTATTCGAAACAATTTAAATGAAATGTAATTATTTTTGTTGTGAATTGTATTTTTTAAACACAATATATATAAGTTTTAAAACAAATAGAGTGATGTTTGGGATTCTGTAATTAAGATGTTTTTTATTTTGCAGAAATAATTAAAAATGGACAACTAGCTTATTTAAATTGCCTAATTTACCAAAATTATAGTATTCAAGTACACAGTATAATAGGAAATAAATTACAATAATTTCAATTAAAAATTTATATAAATCAAAATGTAAGCTGAAAGTGAATCAATTGATTAAGATAAACATCAAGTAATATGGGCTACAATATTCAACATATACCGTATTGATATAACTTACGGAATTGTATAACTATTGCCATCTATTTAACAGAATATATAAAAATCCAGAATATTCAATTGAATAGTCAATTGAAAAAACCCTGGAATGCTAAAATATTTAAAATTAATTATTATACTGATTACTTATTTAATATCATAATGGAAAATATAATTAATACTTTAATTAAATTTCTAGATAGTATCTTTGCAAATCTAGTTTTTGCATAGTTATAATGACTTTCATACAACACTATAATTTGGGCGTTTTAAAAAATAACTAATAAATTAATTAAAATTCAATGAATTCATTTCAGCTGCATTATTATTATTTGTGGCGCAGAGGATAGAGCACTTACTGTGCATTTTGTTAACTTGCTACGTTTACTATAATTTTAATTACTTTAATTTTGGTTCCGATTTGTAGGCACTTTTCCGGTGTTGACTTAGAGGGTGATTGACAATGAAAATGACCATGGTTAGTTATAGAAGCCGTGCACTCAACTAGTCTTGATTTTTAGTGCAGACATCTTAATAATTGTTTTTGTTTTTTAGTTTTAACCACAATTGCCCTCACCTTCTGTTTATTGCATACATTTATTATAATAAACTCTCGATTATATTGCAATATCATAAGTGCTGACAAAATTCTACCCTCATATAAATTAGCTTATCTGCAACTCCGAGACTTGTTTCATAAGAAGGCAATTGAATTGTTAAGAGTTATAATAAATGTGCACCACTTATGCTACTTTAAATGATTTAACTCGAGTTAATGCAAAAGTCAAAAGTATATGCAAAATAATAAGTGGTTAAAAATGAAGCCATCCGTACATTAAAACTACTACAAGTCTAGGAGACTGTGAATCGTTGGAGTGGTGTTGACAATACTCTTTGTAATAATGTATTAATAGTCAAACTATAATAAATAAATTCAGAAATCTGTGTAATTAAATATTTTAGGGCTAATGTAATATAATAAATAAGTTAATACAAATGTGAATAGAAGTAACAAAAAAGTTTATTTGTTCATTAAATGTTTGCGATTAAGGTATGATTTTAGCAATGATACTGGGATATAGATTTTCACACAATAACGGTTCATATCGGTTACCGGTGACCATAATGTATAGTTGGGCAATTTGCGCGGCGGCTAGGTCAAGCAGGTTCAAAAATATTGAACGTGTGGCCCCGCCACGCATTATACAATCGATTCGTGTCTTAGTGGTAGTCCCCGGCCCTCCACTCAGCTGTGCTGGCAATGACGGCACCGATGTGTCGGCCGCAACACCAGAGGAATCGCCCGAAGAGTCAGAAGATTTGGCCGAAGAGTCAGAAGATTCGGCCGAAGAGTCAGAAGATTTGGCCGAAGAGTCAGATGCGGTGTCCGATGCTTTCGGGTCATCCCCTGTCGCCGGTGCCTCTGCTTCTTGTGGTTCGGGCACTGGTTGTGACACTCGTTCGCCAATCGTTATAATTAATACAAATATTGTTAATGTCTTTACTTTAGCCATCATTTGAGATATTATTTAATTGTCAATTATTATAAACACTTAAGAATTATTATAAGTTGTAATTAACAGATGGTTTGATACTTGTTTTTTAAATGTGTTTTAATGCATAATTTAATTATTTTACATTAATAATTAAAATTTTTAAGATTAATTAATTAATTAAATATTATATTTTAAGTAATTAATGTCGTAATTTATTGAACTTATTAAAATTAAATGAAAATAATTAAATGTTAAATTTTTGCGACATAACTTATATAAGAACAGGAACTAAAATGAGGTATAAATTTGTATTTAATATAAATAAATAAGTATTTAATTTTAATAGTAATTATTAAAAATTATAATTTTTGCAATCATAAGAATATTAATCTTAAATATTAATATATTGGCTGTGAGTGGAGTGGTTTAGATTGAGACCGATGTGACCACCGGTGCTGAGCCGGACATATGGTTAGTCGCGTGCGAAACAACCGAACAGGCATTAAAAGCCTGTCGTAACGTATCGCTGGAGCCGTGCGATCACTTTTATGAGTTTACGTGCGCGCGTTGGGAGGCGTGCTATCAAACCCGTCCGATATGTCCGCCTATCGTAACACTGATTGTACTCGACAATGAAAATGCACGTATGATTTAGTAATTAATTTAACCTAGCACATTTACTAATTTTACAAAATAATTGAATGATAATATGTTGAACGGCGAGAATACGTTGAGCGAGAATATTGCTGACAACGGAGGTCTCCGAGTGTCGTACCGGGCGTTAGAGGCTTACATGTGGACACACGACGAACCCCAACGACTGCCACACGTCAGCCAATTTACGGCAAAACATCTCTACCTTGTTTTTAATCTCACGCTTGTGTTTGTTCATTAATATTGTGCTTTTAATTATTGTTATAATGTATAATTGTTTTTATTTGATTGTATTGTGAATACGACAGGAATTGTGTGGTTTTTGGAGAAGTGAGGCATTGAAGAGCCAAATGGAGTCAAACCCTTACAGTCCGGCCAACTATTGGGTAAACGTTCCGCTCTATTACTTACAGAGCGTGCAGTCATTTTACAATGCATTCAAATGCAGTCCTCTGTCTTCAATGAACCTATAAACCACATTATTCATACTGAATTGTGGTTAAAAATTTTGTTGCATAAGACGGATATTTAGGATATTTCACATTTGTGTTAATAAAGTATATAAAATACTATTCATAAATGTATCTAAAAATAGTATTTATTAATTGTGCATAATTTTATAAAATATATTTATAATATAATTGAGTTTATGAATTAGTACAGAAAATGCCTTTATATTAACGCATGGACAATTAATTATTTTGAAACTATTATTTTCCTTATAACTTCTAATGTTTTGTGAATTAAATTCAAATACTGTGTTATACATAATAATAAACGACATTTCAATTGAGTCAAATCAGAATAATTATAATATTTTAAAATTTATAAAATTATTCTTAAACATAAACCTTTGGCAGGCATTGGTTTAGTAACAATAAATTGAATATTCATTGTAATACAGATTAATACTAGTTTTAGATTTTTTGCAATTAGCACGAATATACATGATGGTTCAATTGTGACATTACATCTCAGAATGTGTTACAATTTGTATTCATTATTGTAAATATCGATTTGTTATCTAGAGATGTTATTTTTATTAAATGCCTAATTGGTGTTAGTATTATTTATATGGACCATATCTTTATAAAAATCATTAAGATTAATTCAAACCTTAAGTTTGATGTAGAATGGTACGGAAGTAAACGAAAGTCATAAAGATATTAATTGCATATTAATTAATAAAATGTTTTAAAAACATTTATTTTATTAATTGGCATTATTTAGAATGATGACTAATCAAAAATATAATTATAAATTAATTCTTTAAATTAAATAATAATACAATGCTTTTTATTACACGATTTACAATTATAGCAACAATGAATTTGATATTAATATTTTATTATAGTTTTAATATTTCCAATTAGAATAACAGCAATCTTTATTTTTATGCAACAAATCTGTATGTTACCTGGATATTTTGTTTTCATAGCAGTATAGCTGTTTTTGCATAAATCTTTTATGCGCCTCGGGACTTCATATACCTCTTAAATGAAATGAGCTAGATCAAATCTGTAAAATGTAAAATAGAGATCCATATAGTTTGATACAAAAAACTATTGAGATCACGTGATTATAACCCAAAAATTTTCGGGTGAAATCGATTGGTCCCGGTTTCTGTAAAACTGGCGAGGGTCGGAAGGGGGCGGGCATGCTATTCTGTAGAGGAGATGTCAAATTACAATAATAACTTAAAACCACCTTTGTCGGATTGCAGGATTTCACACAGCAGTTAACCAAACTATCGCAATTTTTGCATGTAAACCTATGGGACTGAAAACAAATATTATATTTGAACATTTATGGGTAATGTTATGTATATGGTATTAATGTTATTTTAATAAGATAATGCTTTTTCTATGGAAATTTATAAAATGAATCTGACAAAACTAATTGTTGTCATTAACTTTTAAAATTCTCAAAATAACAATGAATGTATTCTAACAAAAGTATTCAAAAATTAAACTTTTGTAACGCATTCCCCGAATAGTGGTTAACGTAAAGCATCGCTATGTGATCCATGTTTTACATTTCATTGTCTATAATGATTGGTTTTGTCTGAAATATTTTAACGTTATATTTATTAATAGTATAGCCAACAAAACGATGTCTAAGTCGTCCAATCACTTCATTGCCTTTTTATTGATATTTTATTATTGGATTTGCGGTATTTTATTGTTTTTTGTGCCCAAAAGTTTGCGCTTTAAATCAGTCAAAGATAAGTTAGTCTTAATTACTGGCGGCGGCAGCGGTTTAGGCAGAGCACTGGCCATACGTTTCGCTAAACAGGGCGCTAATGTAATCGTTTGGGACATCAATAAGAGTGGTTTGAATGAGACGGTAGAGCTGGTGAGAGCGGCAAACCCGGAGGTCATAGTCGGTTCATATGAGTGCGACATTACGGAAAGACACCTGGTCTACGAGACGGCGGCCAAAGTAAAGCGCGATGTGTCGGCCATCGATATACTGGTCAACAACGCAGGTGTCGTTAACGGCAAGAATCTGATGGACATTCCAGATGAGAAGATTATACAAACGTTTCAAGTGAACGCAATCAGTCATTTCTGGACAGTGAAGGCTGTGTTGCCCGATATGATGGCCGCAAACAGCGGTCATTTGGTGTCGATCGCATCGGCGGCCGGAACAACTGGCTTGTGTCAGCTCACAGACTATTGCGCCTCGAAGTTCGCTGCCGTTGGCTTTGAAGAGTCGCTGAGGTATGAGTTGATTAACGCTAACAAATTAGGCGTAAAATCGACAGTAGTTTTGCCTTATGTTATAAACACCGGAATGTTTGCCGGCTTTAAGTCGCCAATTCTGTCAGCACTGGAGCCTGACTACGTGGCCGACCAGATCATGGCCGGCGTTCTTACCGATGCCGAGTATGTGGCCGTTCCTCGCATTTTCTATATAATCAACACATTAAAGACCATTTTGCCGGTCAAAGCATTTTATAAGGCGTACGAAGTTTTGGGCGGATATCACTGGATGGAGGACTTTGTCGGACGCGAACGCACTAACCATAATAATTAGACTTCTGATAAATATGCACTAAAGATATTTTAATTATTGTAATTTTTACAAATGTTTAATATTAACAAATAGAAACAACTTCTATGAAAATGAATATCGTTTAAAAATTATTAGAACATGGATTTTCCAAAAATAAGACTTGTTCGAAAATTAGAAATAAAATTGTAATAACCGGAACTTTTGTAAATTATGTTGTTATTGAATTGAAACACAATAATTAATATGTAACAGTAAATGTGTATATCCGTTGATGTGATAACGGGCAGTTGAGAATAATTGTTATAAAATGAAAGTAGATTCAAAAAGTAGTCGAGTGTGTCCAAACTTCATATGCCAGAATTCTCTCGGGTCTGGCAGTAGTGACCACTTTTATCGGCAAAATTTTGAGAATCAAATCTTTTAATTTATGAATAAGTATATCATATTATAATGGGTGTTATATTTAATAATGAGCGGTAAAGGTATCATTATTTGTAATTATTTTATTCCTAAGATAATAAACTTTGATCAACGGTCTATTCACTGCACTAATCCTCTATTATCCCCCATTGTGTCACCAATTTTTCAATTTCCTAATTGAAGATTAAACTTGATTTTAAGACCAAAAACTAAAGACACCCCTGATTTGATGACATCTGCCATTTTTACCACCATTTCTCTCACACATATTAGAAATGATGTGTATCTGTAGTAATCAGTAGGGGGTATATCAGGGTTAATGTCAGTGTGGGTATAGTTTTCATACCTCTTGTTATTAAACTTTAATTGGGGTGTATTTTCAAAATTATTTCTTTGGGAATTTTTTTAGCATTTAAATACTGTAAAACACCGTTAATTTAACCGCTAGCCGTTCGTAAACATCTCTAAGTGTTTTTCAATAGTCTATTCCCTGTATCCCTACCCTATGAACATATCCTCAGCCAACATATTTGGCATCGGAGTCCCGAACCAGTTTAAACACTCCCGATAAGTGACCAAACATCGGGTGACCACCACGGCTACAATCAAAGGCGCGGCACATTTTAAGCTATAATGGTCAATGATGTACACCTATACAATTTACATTATAAATTTGTTTAAATTTTTGAGTCAGAAATTGCGTCAAATAAGCTCTTTATAAATTTGTATAAAAAATGTCTAATATGTGTTGCCGTACGGGTGGCCAGACATCGGTTGGACAGAGATTTATATGCGATTTGGACACAAATATACATAAACTAATAATGAATGGATATTTAAGGCCAATAATGAGCGCAACTACTCATTATAAACATCTAGATAATCCATTTACAAATAATGATACTTTTTCGCTCATTATTAAATATAACACTCAATATATCGATAAAAAGGTATGGATGAGAGAATATCATTCTGAAGGAATTTTCAAATTGGGATTTAATTAGAAAAAGTTATTTATAAAATAAGAAATATCGTGATAATTGTATACGTTTTTTATTACTGTTTATTTTTAATAACATAATTGTTTCACTCCACTCATATTAATTTTAATTGCGGGTACAAAAATAATTAAATTAAAGAAATGAACATTGCAATAATTTTTAATACAAAATTTGAAATTATTATATATTTGCAAGTACACTTAGAATTTGAGCATGATTTTATTATTTTTAAACACACTTTTCAACTTCATCGAAGAGAAGTTAGGTCGACAGATATTAAAGTGAATAATTAGCTTTTGATTATAACGCAATTCATTCTTTTATTAAGGAACTCATTGGTTCCTTACTACTCACTGCAAGTTCTACGATCGAACAGATTAATTAACCGACTCTTTACATAATAATTGACATTTCAATTGAGTCAAATCAGCTTAATTATTATATTTTAAAGTGCATGAAATTATTCTTAAACATACACCCTTGGCCAGGCATTGCTTTAGTAACCATAAATTAAATATTCATTGTATCACAGATTAATTCCAGTTATAGATTTTTTTGCAATTAGCAACGAATTATGCATGATGGTTCAATTGTGACATTACATTTGAGAATGTATTACAATTTGTATTCATTATTATAAATATGGATTTGTTATTAGTTTTATTAAATGCCTAATTGGTATTAGTATCTAGATATATAAACCATGCATGTATCTTTATAGATACCATAAAGATTAATTCAAACAATATACGTAAAATGGTACGGAAGTGAACGAATGTCATAATAATATTAATTGCATATAAATTATTTAAATGTTTTGAAAACATTTATTTGATTAATTTGTATTATTTAGAATGATGATTAATTAAAAATATAATTATAAATTAATTCTATAAATCAAATAAAAATATAATCTTTTTATTATACTATTAACAATTATAGCAACAATCAATTTGATATTAATATCCTATTAAATAAATATTATATAAATAGATATTATTAATATATACTATAATTTCATTGCAATTAGTAACTATACAACCAATATATGGACATAATTTTATTTGTGCGTTATTATATTTACAACTAGAATAACAGCAAATTTAATTTATTTATAACACAGAGCTTGGTTAATTAGTTATTTTGTTTTCATATACAGTATAACTGTTTTTGCATAAATCTTTTTAACCACAATTCAGTATGAATAATGTGATTTATAGGATAGTTATGCCCCCCTCCCCTTACCCCCGCTCTATGGGATTTAACATGGGATTGCATGTTAATCCTATGACATAGACTTAACATGGGTAATGCTAATTTTATGAAGCTTTTTCCATAGACTTAACATGGGCTAATGT